TCAAAACGTAATAATCACTTTAATCTAGCTTGCGCTCACTGTTGTACACTGGAAGCAGTTTCGGGCGGATGACGTATGAGGACAGTGTTGCGCATGCGCCGGTGAGTCTCGTGAAAACCAACGTTTGTTAACAGGAGCAAAGGAAGCAAAGTTTCCTTACTTTAGCAAAAAAAACCCATTCTCCTCTTGGCTTATATCGAAATCCTCTGACATTCTTCTTTACAAATCCTCGTTTTGTACTTCTAATAAGTGACCGTTGTTCTGTTTTGATCTCTCCCCTGCGCTCCTCATACGTCATCCGCCCGGAACTGCTTCTGTGTACAACAGTGAGCACAAGCTACATTAAAGTGATTATTACGTTTTAAATATGGTTATTTTTCTTACAAAAACGCATCGATTCGCTACAGGAGGCTTTTATTCACCCCCCCGGAGCCGTGTGAGACACTTTGTTTTATGGATTGGTGCTTTTTATTTCACTTCTTTTGGACTGAAGCACTGCAACACCCGCTGACTGCAATGATAGATAATTATTATTATTATTTAAATATTAAGTTATATTATTCTGTCAGGTCATACAAATGTCTTTTATATGTAGTATTTCTTATATATTCTTAATAATAATCCTGCTATTTTCTGTGAGGACCCTGTTGAAATAACCCAAGCTGAAGTTTTTAACAGCATTAATGCGTTGTCTCTGTCTTGTCTCCTGCACAGACAACCTGAATTGCTTTTAAATGAACTCTTGATAAAGTCAGAAAGCAATCGTTGGTTTTGATTACCAAAGTCAGCACTCCATAAACAACTCTATTTGGTGCATTTTCCATTTTCTTTGATCCACATCATTAAAGTGTGGACGTTTCATGAAGCTGCTTTGGTCTTTATATTAGCCGCAGAATTACATGCGCTGCGGTGTCTATATGACGCCCCATGGTCCGCTGGTTTATTCAGCTATTACATAAATTTGCGGGTTGCATCAGTCATTGCTCACGGGAGCTGATCATTTACGGCTTCATCTTCCACCGCTGTTTGTTTTCTGGAGGTGAAGCCTTCAATCTGATGTTATTCGACAGTAAATGGCCTTTAAAAAGTCATTTCCAGTTGCTGAGCTGTGCATAAGCATCCTGAAATGAAGCAGAAAATGTCTGTGCTGCGGTACAGTGAATTGAGCAGATGCTGATGATGGGCTGCATTTCTCGCAGAGGTCAAAGGTCACATGCTCACCTTGAGAGCTGCCCTTCCCTCCTGAGTGTGTTTCCTCAGATGAAAATGAAATATTAACTCCAGGCTGGGGTTTCTTTGCCCATTTCTATGTTTCTTTTGGAGTTGCATGTCTTCACTGGAGAGGATTGTGGGTTTTTTGTGTTCAGATTGAAAGTGAAATGTTTGCACTGTCTGCTGCCGTCCTGGATCAATACTGCACACTTCCCACCACAATCAGGATCCTTATGTCGGATACCATGGCAATTAAAGGAATAGTTCACCCAGAATGCAATTTCTGTTATTATTTACTCACATTGACAGTTTTTTGCCCAAAAATCACAAATATGCACCATAAATACACCATTAAAGTAGTCCATATGATGAATGCATTATATTTCAAGTCTTCTGAATGCATATAGTGACTTTGTGTGAGGAACATATTGAAATTTCAGCTATAAAAATAAAGGTTCACTTTGAATCTGAAGGCTTTAGAAAATTTTTAATCCTCTGGTGCTCCTTGTGTGGTTTTTTTATTTGAATGAAATTAATCTACTGTATTTACTATGTTTTTTATGTAATATTTAGTATTTTTAGGGAATTTTATGGTACTAAATTATATGTATGGAGTGCTTATAATCCATCCTTTATGCTGGAAAAAAATTAAGTTGTAAATAAAGACTAAGTTGTAGTATAAAGTAATATTATTAGAGTATGTTTTACAAGAAAATACTACTTAATTTTTCTGCCTAAAATTTCACATTTAACTGTTAGTTGATGTTTCTTTGTCATTATTTGTGAAATTTGTTAGTAATTTCTGTGTGAAAATAGTTTCAAAGTAAATGCTACATCAGTTTTTTTTTTCAGGGTATTGCATAAGTTATATGCGTACATCATCATACTTTTATGAAGCTCTATTATAATTTCGGAGCCTTAAAGCATCCATTTCATTTCCACTTTATTTTATAAACGTCATTTTGTGCTTCATCGAAGAAAGAAATGCATGCATTTGCAACGACATGAGGGCAAGTAAATAATGACAGAAGTTTAATTTCTGGTTGCACTATTCCTTTAATATGTTAGTGTGTTATATTCTGGCAGGTGAAGCCTCACAGATGTGATTCTGCTGGAGTTGGTGTCTCCAGCTATGGGTCATTAGTGATCTCTCTGATACGAGCGCAGGGTGCCAATCAGGTTGCTCTTCTCCTGTCCTTCTCATCTCAGCCCTCATTTCGTGCTGCACAAATGCATTAAGCAGGAGATGTGCTGCCCCCATTCTAGCAGAGGGCACTGCATGTCTCTCTAGAGCCCAGTGCTTCTGAGGAGGCTGAAGTTTGACCTTCTGCTGGTGAAAAGAACTCTGCACTCAATGGCCATCCACAAACTCAGATTTGTTTTTAGGATAAGGACAATAAACATAAGTGTGTATGTATCATCATATGTATGCATCATGTTTCTTTCCATATATACTCATATATACATACACTGTATACATAAAACCACATGTATGTGTCTGTTATATATAGTTATAGTGTCTATTATATATATAAAGCTTATTTTATTTCAGCTAGTTGCCAATGCAATGCCAATGTCAATGCAAAATTTCTTATGTATGATTGAGTCATTGAATCATTTCCTTAACCGATTTGTGATTCATTCAGAAACTAAACACCACCTGCTCATACTGTGTGTGTGTGTGTGTGTGTGTGTGTTTCACTGTTCTGTTTTTACTTAAATTTAGTGCAATCGTGCTGTTGAATATCAGCAAATGTTCATCTTTAACAGCACAAAGCTATAGAGAGAGTATTGATACTGATGCAAAACTTGCTTCACTGAAAATAATGATAACTTCAGTGCAGTTCATTGATGTTGATTCATTCTAATTGATTCAGTTCAGTTAAGGATTCTTCTGACTGAATCAAAGTCTTTTGAACGATTCATTAAAAGAACTGACTCATAAGAATCATTAGTTCAGTAGTCAGACTCCACTGGTCTCACTGATTCTTTTGATTTGTTTGTGAATCCTATACTATCACATTGTTTTTGTTTGCATGACTCAATGGGAAGACATTTTCTGTCATTATTGTGCGAGTCCATTTATTGCATCATATTTAGTACAGACTGCAAACTCGATCACAACTCGGATAAATATGATTTATCTTGGTGCCAAACATTGGTGTTTCTTGTACCGACCATGTTGCTAAGGTGTTCTGAATGGTTGCTATGTGGTTTTACTGTATCAAGTGAGAAGAGTCCTGTGATATTCTGATCTTGTGCCTCCTTCAGTACAAGTCTATGGGATTCTTTTTACACCCGTTTTATCGCCCACCAGGTGAAAATCATAAGTCTGATATGGGACGAGTTACACTCTAAAGTTTAATACTTAGATTTAGAGGTTTGTTCAAATCCCTCAACCTAAATCGTAGCAATAAAAGTGGTTTGCCTTAGCAAGCACCACTAAAAATAGCTTGGAGAGAAATATCTCTGTCACCAGCCGTATTTCCAGCCGTCTTTATGTGTTATTGCAGTCATAAGCGTTATAAACACGTCTTGAGATCTCAGTGTTCTGCACTTGGTTTCATTCTGCTGCACAACGTTAAGTTTAATTCAGTTTTGAACATGACCTTGTCACAGAAGCTGCTGGTGCTTAATGGATGCTAAACTGGTTTGTTTGGGTTCAAGATGTTTGAAAGTCCATTTTGGGTATATTTGAGAAATATTGCTGTTGCACTTGAAATATAACAAGGACAATAAGCTTTAGTGCGAATATTAGTGCAGATATTATTTTGAAACAAACTGTTAATTTTTTTTATGAATTTTTAATTCTGATAATTGGACTCTCTAATGTGTATTTGAAATGTTTATCATTGCATTTTTTTGCATACTTGCAATACAAGTTTGTGTTGAGCAAAGTCTTTTATGCTCAACAAAGCTGCAATTATTTAAGCAAAAAAATATAGTAAAATCAGTAAAATTGTGAAATTTTTATTACATTTTAAAATAAATGTTGTCTATGTCAATATATTGTAAAATATATTTTTTTCCTGTGATCAAAGCTGAATTTTCAGCATCATTACTCCAGTCTTCAGTGTCACATGATCTTCAGAAATCATTCTAATATGCTGATCTGCTGCTCAAGAAACATTTCTGATTATTATCAATGTTGAAAACAGTTGTGCTGCCCAATATTTTTTGTGGAAACCCTGATACATTCAATTTTTCAGGATTCTTTGTTGAACAAAAAGTTCAAAAGAACAGCAGTTATTTGAAATAGAAATCTTTCGCAACATTATAAACGTCTTTGCTGTCACTTTTGATCAATTTAATGCATCCTTGCTGAATAAAAATAGTAATTTCTTTCAAAAAGCATCAGTGAATCATAATATAGATGAAGAATTTTTATCAGTCGATGCATTGAACTCATGTATCTGACTGTTTTTGATGGATTGCATGGGAGGAAAATGCAGCAAATGTGTAGAATATGGGCTCTTTAAATGCATGAGAGTTGAGGAAGTGTGTGAATGTGAGATGTGTATCCTAGTTGTTAACCGTTTACTCTTCTGGTTTGTTTTTTGCAGATATTTAAGCAGAAGGTGATGGAGCTGGGCGAGAAGTTGTTACCCGCCTTCAACACGCCCACCGGCATTCCCAGAGGAGTCATTAACCTGGGCAGGTGAGCATCTGACGCAGCTTCGACCGTCCCATTCGCAAAGCCATATGTCTCAAATAGTAGGCTTTCTGAGAGAAAGAGACGCTTTCTGGCACTCCTGCCTGCCCACCTGGCTTCCATTAGCCCACCAGCTCGCTCTGACAGCTGCAGGCAAATTTAATTAACTGATTCTCACGCTAATTCCAGTTAGATGAGTAACAGGAGCCGGTCCCGCAGATGGGCTGAGAGAAAGAGGGCTCAGGTTAGTTGTGATGACACAGAACGAACACACGTCACTGCCAGCGCGCTCTTATTATGACGTTTACGCTGCTGGTCAGTGTCATGCTTTTGAAAGAAGTCTCTTCTGTTCACCAAGGCTGCATTTATTTGATTAAAAATACAGTTAAAACTGTAAAAATTGGAAATATTATTATAATTTAAAATAACTGTTTTCTATGTCAATATATGTTCAAATGTAATTTATTTTGGTGATCAAAGCTGAATTTTTAGCATCATTACTCCAGTCTTCAGTGTCACATGATCTTCAGAAATCATTCTAATATGCTGATTTGCTGCTCAAGAGACATTTCTGATTATTATCAATGTTGAAAACTGTTACTATTTTGTTACTAATGCTTACTATTTTGATAATCCAGATGATATATCTGGCACACACACACATGATTTAATATCTATTTATAGTACAAAAATATGTTTAGAAGTATATTTTATATTTTGTATATTTATTATATTTATATTTTATATATATATATATTTTTTTAAATATATTTATAGTTTAATAATAGTACTTAATATTTATTTACATACATAATATTTAATTATAATAATTATGTAATTATAAAAATCTTACAGTTTATAGATTATTATTGGTCAAATTCCAATGCAGCGTCACATGCATATTTCAAGTAAATGTGCAATAATTGTCTTCAAAAATGACTTTATAATGTTTTTTAAATAGAAGCATCTGCTCAGCTTCTGTTTTTTAACACCAACAAAGACTGATTAAATGGGCTTTAAGTCTTTTCTCCCACCAGTGAACTCTCTCTGCCTTTTGTTTAACGAACTCTTAGTTGTTTTGTGCCGGTTTCGGTTGGTTTTTCCGCCGAAACTTTTCTCACTTTCCTCTTCCATTCGGCAGGGGTGAGACCTGCAGCATAAACACAAACAGAAGCGTCTCCGTTTTGAACAACAGATGAAATTTGAATGCCATTTAATCAAAACAAAGGATAAAATGCTCTGGGTGTGCTGTTCAAACTGCTCTTAAAATATTTACATAGTTGCATACAGACCATAACACTACAAAAATCATTTTTAATCAGTATTTTTGTCTTGTTTTCCAGTAAAGATAGCTAAACATTGTCAAAAGATCAATTTGCATGAGAAGCAAAAATTGGTAGCACAAGCCTCGGTATATTTTATTGCATACTGACAAATTTACTGCAAAAGTAATTTTTTTAATTAGTATTTTTTTGTTTTCCAGTAAAGAATATCTAAAAATCCTTAAAAGGTAAATTTGCACAAGATGAAAATGTTGTAACATAGCCCTCACTATATTTTGTTGTATAAAGACATATAAACAATAGAAATAATTTTAATCAGTATTTCTGAAAAGCAACTTTTCCAGTAAAAATATATAAATATCAATAAAAGATCAATTTGCATGGGAAGCAAAACTTTGATACATTTTGAAAATACATTTTGTTGAATACAGAAAAGTACACTACAATCAATTTGCATGAGAATCAAAAATCGGTAGCATAAGCCTCAGTATATTTTATTGCATACCGACAAATACACTAAAACATTTTTTTTTGTTAAAATATATAAACCTCCTTAAAAGATCAATTTGCACAAGAAACAAAACTTTGTAGCATAAACCTCAGTATTATTTATTGCATACATGCAAATACACTACAAAAAATCATTTATAATTTGAAATTCTTCCCAGTAAAAATGCATAAAGTTTCTTTAAAAGATACATTTGCATGGGAAGCAAAAGTTTGTAGTAAAAACCTCACTGTATTTTGTTGCATACAGACAAATGCACAACATAAATCATTTCTAATTTCATCTTATTTTCAAGTAAAAATATCTAATGTTTAAAGGATCAATTTGCACAAGAAGCAAAACTTCTCATTTTATATATATTTTTTTTATTTTATTTTAACTTGATGTACTAAAATAACTATAACTGAAACTGGAATTAAAATGAATAAAAATTGTGTGTGTGTGTGTGTGTGTAAATATATACTGAGCATTGCAATTATTTCGCATTTACTAGAATTCAATCAAGTGGCTTTGCCAACTCATTTTTGCATCTGTCCTGTACGTGGCATATTATTTCTTCTGCGTGCAGACTAGAGGGAACATTGCTAGTCGCAATGGGGTTGGCTTTCAGTCAAGTATCTGTGCTGTCTGTATAGAGATCCAGTGTTGTTATTGTTAACTAAAACTATTAAAAACATTTTTGTTCATTGAAATAAAGCTAAAATAAAATATAAATATATAAAAATAAAAACAGATTTAAAAATATGAATAAAAACTATAACAGTATCTACAATAACACTGAAACAGACAAATACACTATAAAAATATTTTAATCAGTAATTTTGTCTTGTTTTACAAAATGAATAAACGTCAACAAAGAATCAATGGAAAAAGGAAAATAAACTTAATTCCATTCCAAAAATATTTTCCATGAGCAAATCCTAATATCTTTTGCAGTTTACTGTTTTGTCTGAGATGACAAAAATGACTGATTATAAATATAGTTTTCTAATCTCAACTGCATATTTAACACCTTAATAAAATAAATGCATGTTATTTTTAGTTGTTTTCATGAAGATAATTGTTTCCTCTGTGTAAATGCATCTTTTGGTGGTATCGATGTCAAATCGGTGCAACCTTTATAGTAGAAGAATGCTTTGGATTTTTGGTGCAAATCACCCGAGATGCTCCCAAGTGCAATAAATTCTATTTCTAAGCCTGTATTTGTATTGTTGTTCTTCAGTAGAATCATTAAAGGCATCATTATGGATGAGCGTTGTGTAAGTCTCTCGTGTGGGATGCAGCGAAGGCTTTTAGCAGGTGTGTGTTAAAGCGTGTGCTGATCTGCTCTGTGTTCACGGAGCGGCTCTGCTCTCTGTTGCAGTGGCACCAGCTGGAGTTGGGGCTGGGCATCGGCCGGCAGCAGCATCCTGGCCGAGTTTGGCACGCTGCACCTGGAGTTCCTTCACCTGTCCCAACTGTCCGGAAACCCCCTGTTCACTGAGAAGGCGAGAGTCCTTTACGTCCTGATGATTCACGCTGAGAGGACGGGATACGGGCCGTGAATGAACCCTATGATTTGTGTTTTTCTTTAGGTGATGAACATCCGAAAGCTGCTGAACAAAATCGAGAAGCCTCACGGTCTGTATCCCAACTTCCTGAGTCCCGTCAGCGGCAACTGGGTACAGCGTATGTAACACATTTCTTCGTTTAGCAGACACTTTTAGACAAAACGTCTAAATGAGAAATACAAGAAATTCTAATCATTTGATACCAGCAGGAACTACACTACTTTTGTGTGTGTGTGTG